TTTTTTTTGTAAAAAATCCTTCTGGACAATACGTTTAATGTGCAAGCTAATTTATTGTAACTTAAGTCACACACCATAATTAGATCAATTACACGTTTGCGTGCAACCCTTTCAACAATTCTGGGCATTTGCTTTTACTGGGCATTTTCAGTTTTATACTGGTATATCCAGGCTCTTACAGAAGTAGGCCTTTAACCAGATGGATTTGAATTTTCTGTTCAAATCTTTTAAAGAACAGGACAGAATGACGGTTATAAAGTGTGATCTGCAAAATTCAATATGTCCTGTATCCAGTCATAAAAGCTGCTAACGTTCACATAGAACCCGTACTTTCCCCTCTGTGCACACCCCTCACCCCAGCTGACCAGACCCAGGAGGTACCAACGCCCGCTGTCATCGTGTCTCACCACGAATGGACCACCACTGTCACCCTTGCACGCATCACCGATGGTTTCCCGAGCGTACCCGGCACAGAACATGTGAGCTGTGACGGGCCACGTGGTAGAGTTCTGGCACGTGTCCGGACGTTGGACTGGGATGTCGATGACGTTGAGGTAGCGTGGTCTGAGGGGATAGGGTCCACTCGTCAGAGCGCCCCAGCCAGACACCCTACCTAGTGGTTTGATACGACTGAAGAAATTCGTCTTGGAGAAAGTCTCGCTACACACGCAGACAGGACGCACGTGGTCTGTTATGAACGCTTCCGTCTCTAATTCAATGATGGCGATGTCTTTGTCATACAGTGTGTGGTTAAACCCCTCATGAATGATAATATCCACCACTCTCAATTGCTGCTCGTGGTCCTCAACGTTTTGTGTGTCGTGTTTGCCCAGACGGATGATAAGATTGCGTTCGTCAAGGGTTCTTTCGTAGATCTCTCGAAACTCATAGAAGCAATGTGCAGCGGTGACGACCCATTTCTTGTGAATGAGGGCTCCCCCGCACACAAGACCAACCTCTGGTTCCCAGAGCATCACCTGCCACGGTATGCTCCCCTTGACGGCGTCGTGGCCGTGGACAATGTTCCCACGAGACAGAGGAGGCACTGTCACAGTAGGCTGACCGCAGACTGAAAGAAGAAGAAATCTTGGAGGTGGGAATATTGAATGTTTAAAAGGAGCTGGATACCCTATTTCCATAGACACCATCGATCAACCCAATTTTGCGGGGACTCTCGCTAGGTGCAATCAGCTTAACTGAATGGCACGACTCCTCTTGTTTCCAACGCATTCGTATAATCACCAGCTTTTCTGCAAGAGGACACGTGTCATTCACTTTAGGTGATTGCAGCTCTCTCGAGTCCCCACAGAGTTGGGTCGATCCACGTAAACCGATGATGTGTATAGGAATGGGGCCGTACATTCAAGATACAAAAAATGACAATTATGTTTTTGGACATTAAATCGTAAATTTAACTTAAGATCATTGGAAAAAGTAACTGACTGCTGTCTACGCTGCTTTCATCCATCCCAGCCACTGTCAGCCAGGCACTTCTGTCGTCATGGCAGTCGTCTTCTTGGCGTGTGGCTTCACACGTGTACTTCCCGGCGTCAGATGCCGCCACGGCCTGGATGATGAGGTAACCTGTGCGGAGTATGCGCACACGGGACGAGGTACCGATTGGAGCGCCATCTTTCTTCCATACTATTTGTGCGCCTTGCACACGACAGGAGAAGATGTGCAGACTTCCAACGTCCACTGTCATATTGAGTGGCTTGTCTTTGAATTCTAAAAGGTTAGAAAATGGTACTTTTTAATAACACAAATAACACAACTGGTAGGCATACATGTATACAGGTCGCTAAGCAGTTATATGACAAAAAGTTTAAAACAAAGAAAATTGATAAGATAATCATAAGTAGGCCCTAAGGGTGTGTTCACGATAAACCTATCATACTAGGTAGGTGGTTCCAACTCCGTGGGGACTTTTGCTGAATGACTTTTTGCTGAATGACAGAATGGCAGATTAACTGAATGAAACTAGCAGCAGGGAGTGTTAAACTTTGTGTGCTCTCGGCTTCTGGAAGGCTTTTTCACTACACTTTAAGTGCGGCGTACAGAACGCACACGAAAGTTAAACCATCTGGAATTAGTGGTTTCAAAAATACGAAACTTAATCACCTCCTAGCTGCTCAAGGGGGCGTGTAATCTGCGAAAGTCTCAGCAGAGCTGTGTCGACCTACCGCATACGATACTTTCATTGTGAACGCACATTAAAAGGGAAATGCCGACTGTCACGTGAAAGCTGTAATACCACCAGCTGTGTCACCTGTAGTGACAGTTCCTTGAAGATGTCTTTTGGATGTGTCCAGTATTAGAGTTAATAATTTTACCTTTAAACTTCACAACTGGATTGATCAGAATTTATATTTTAATATTAAGAGGGAATAGTTATAAAATAACAAATGAAACTAACGATGTCATGAATTCAGTCGTTTTCCAGAACATTTCTTACATTTTTACACATAAAATTGTTTTGCGAAGTTTGATATGTTTTAATATTTCCTCACCTAAAGTGCATGATGACGTATGTGAACTAATCCAAGCTCGAGCTTGGGCGACCTCGCCGTCAGTTGATGCGATACACGAATACACTCCAGCAAGACTCTGTCTGAACTTAGAAATGAGAAGAATCCCTCCTGGTAGTACTTCCAGCTCCGGGATAGAGGTCGCATTGACATCATCTTTCGTCCAGGAATATGTGACGTCATCGTGGTCAACACTGCATTCCAGTACCACCAGCTTTTCCTCCATTACAGTCTGGTTTTCAGGGCGTACAGAGAACACGAGTTTCGGTGCTAGAACAAGAAATTGTATAACATACAATACGTGTTTTGATCAAAGAACACATGCTGTTGTTTGTATAAAACATTGCATTAGAAAAGTACTCTTTTTGAAAAAAAAACTTACAAGGTGCTGGAGGTTGTTTTGTGTGTTGTGACGTCATATCCACGACTGTGGCGTCTCCTGGTATCTGCACCCCACACTCATACCACCTGACGTAATACTTCCCAGTCCACCGTGATCCATCCTTAGGACCGAAACCAATGTTACCAGTGGTTAGACCCTCTTTGGCATTGGAACGATAGAAACCTGGATGATTAAAGGTCGTTCAATGTACTCAAAGCATTTCTTAAACAAGTCTTTATTCAAATGTAGAGTTAAAGGTAGGAGTAAAGGTAGATCATGTTTTGATAGGCCTAACAATATCTCCTTTCTCTCATTAATTATTAAAAGATAGATAACTTTCGATATTTCTGCTTTAACGGCCATGGATTAGCAGATTAACTATCAAAAAAAATATAGCTACAATGTATTTGCAACTTGCCTGCAGGCTATAGGATCTAACTTACTTCATTCTGGATCCTAGGAACAGGGATGAACTGGTAGCCGCACGCAGCTGACAGACTCGTCCCCTTTTTCCTCGGCGCCCATTAAATCTTATAGAAAAATCAATACTGTTCTGATATTTGTAGTTTTTTCTTCTGCTAACAATAAACTCACCTCTTGCTGAGGGAGAGGACCAGAAGTGGCTGGGAAGATTAGCATCACGCTCGTTCCCACCAACAAACTCACAGTGATCCTGACCATGTCCATTACTGTCTGCTATATTCAGGAATTCCTCACTGAGGCCGTCGCTCATCAACAGTTTATATCTAGAAAATGAATAATACTATTTCATGGAAGAAACTTGCAGAAAAAAGCCCATGTTAGTCCACTTTATGAAATTTGATTAAAATCTAAATGTCTGATGTGCATCGAATACTTGTTAAATAATCATGTGTTTTGTTTGTAAAAAGGCTTTAGGGATCTCGCATCAGGAGAAAGTGATTTTGCATTATGATGTATGCTATAATAATTCATCGAATAACTTAATATACCTGTGAGGCGAGCATAGTATTACGCCGACGTATTTCCCGACAGAATACGGAGTTCGCCGAACGTACTTGTCGCCGTGACAGTCGTTCCAGTTGTCTTCGTACTTGAAGTCAAATTTTAGCCAACAGTTTGATGACTGCAGGCAAACATCCGCTGAAATACACAGAATAAGGCATTCACTTTTTTTCGTTATTAACCTTAACCAGTATTTCAAAAATGAACAACACTCCTCATACAAAACAAAACCCGGATTATATTGCAAAAGTAATGCTTCACTTGCTCAACATCCACAAAATAAAGTGCCGGTGTAACTTGAAAATCTGACTCCCATGAAAATCTGACTCCCCCAGTCAAAATTTCATAATGAAAATCTGACTCCCCCCATGAAATTTTGACTCCCCCTCACAAAACTTTATAAATCATATTTTATTTGAGTATATAACTTTTATCTTGCAGTATCCATAATGGAGGACACATTGGCACTTTTTGAAAATTTTCACGAGAAAATAAGAAAATAAAAAATGTGTATTTTTCCACCCAATGACTCCCATGAAAAGGCTATGGGAGTCCAAATCCTACGGGCAGTAAGATGAATACTTGTTTCAAAAATTATCAATTTTTACCACAAAAATTTGAAATACTAATAAAATATACATCACAATGCAAACTATGTGGAAAACAATGGTATGGTGACTAAATATAAAATATGGACTTTCTCCATGGGTGTCCAAATCCCATTGGTATGAATATGAAGATATTTCATGATCTTTTTTATTTTTTGCACCCAATATTTTACCACCAAACTTTCAAATATTTCCATCATATTCTTCATAAAGTATACTTAAGGACACGATGTTGAAATGGTCACCAAATATCAAATAAATAGCTTTTTCATTGAGTGGTAAAATGCACATTTTTAATTTTCTTATTTTCTCATCAAAATTTTCACCTGTAAACTAACAAAAAGTGTCAATGTATGCTCTATTTTGCATACTACAATATAAAAAGTCATATACTCATATAAAATAAGATTTATAAAGTTTTGTGGGGGAGTAAAAATTTCATGGGGGGAGTCACATTTTCATAATGAAAGTTTGACTGGGGAGTCACATTTTCATAATGAAAATTTGACTGGGGAGTCACATTTTCATAATGAAAATCTGACTGGGGAGTCACATTATGGGGGAGTGATATTTTCATGGTACACCGGCATTCCCTTGACTGTTTTATAAATCAAAACGGTAAAAATGCTATATATATCAAAATCTCGCGTCGTTAAATGTATTTGTATTTACAAGCCGCTAATATTTTTTCTAGGCATTGTCAGTTCAGATTTACCGGTACGTGTACTTATGTATCGCTATAGTACATGTTTGTATTACCTCCATCTGAAAGTTCCATTTTAAAACTGGTTGTCGTTTCGTCGAGCCTTGCGGAAGCGGAGGGGCCAGGCGTAATCGGATTCGTCGCGACATCAACTTTGGGAGAAACAGCCGTGATGGTGCAGTGAGAGTTATACTGCCAATCACATCTCGCGATATTCTCGTTCCATCTCAGCCTATGTGGACAAGCGAACCTGGTGGCAGTGCCGAAATCACAGCGGTAAAAATGAGCACAGCTACTGGGGTCCCCATAAAGACCATCAACTTTTCCTGGAAAAAAGAATATCAAGGATATTGTAACCCTTGTAACCCAATATACATGTAACTGTGACCTTAAAATTGACCTTTGGCCTTCTTTTCACCATGGACTGAACTTTGCAAGGTTTCTGTTCCTTATACATGTACATGTATCTCCAAAACTGGCAGAGACTCGCCCCTAGTTACTATTGAACTTGAATTGGAAGTCATATACTGGCAATCTAACTGTGATCTTGAAATTGACCATTGACCCACTTTTCACAAATTTGGATTTAAACTTTTACTTTTCCCATGATTTTGTTTTAAATGGCAATTTTCGACAAAAATATTGAGAACTTTTGTTTACTGCATTTTTAGAGCTTGTCAAACACAACACTGGAGGTGGTGTCCCTTTATACGCATGCGCTTACTCCAGCTGGCGGTACAATACCTGGAGGCAGTATCGCCTCTCTGATCCTCTAGTTTTGAAGTGAGATAACAAGCGGTTTGGGGCGTAACCTCATCCCTGAAAGAGTTTTTATCATAAAAATTGGCAGAGTTGATCAAGGTGTATAGGCTACAATCCCGTGTGGTCATTTTGGTTTATATGATTTAGGTAGGGCCTGTGTAGTTATGAGTCCTTTTTATACAGATTTCGGTTAAACAAAAGTGACATTTTGCTTTGTCACTGATAAATCTGAACTAAAAATCGCTGGCAGAGCTTTGGAGTAATAAAAGGTGTCATTAAATTGAGTTGAAACGGTGATCGTGGGTGCTCAAGTAAAGGAGAAATATGAGAAAGTGATTTTCAGATTTTACCCCAAAGTGGCATTTATGACGTCAACCGTAGGATGACATATGTCTAAATGTTTATTAGTTTAGTCAATTTATCTTTTACTCAAAAGAATGTATGTGTAGTAAATAAGGAGTTTTGAGCGAAAGGTGATAATATCCTTAAACATCATGTATGTGAGAGAGAGAGAAGGACGCTGAAAAGTATACTGATAGTGTGCTCTATGGTAAAAAACTGCGTCAACATATATGTTTTATAGGATGGGGTTTCTAACAATAGTCTGACACTTAACAAAAATTCTTTGGGCGATGTTAAGAACTTATTGTCAAAAGGTTATTGGCGCGGTATTCATGCTGTGATAAATAAACCTTTTCGTTTTGTCTGAAAAAATAGACCCATATTTACATTGTTGGCTACGATCAATGGAGCGTTGGGTTAAAATATATTTTCCACGAATTCGCACATGCGCAGATACCTCCATACGACAATAAAGTAGTCACAATTCGCCTAAAGACTTACATTATCTTAATTTGAAATCTCATTTTGACTCGTAAATGTAAGGAGACACAGTTCACACAAGGCAACAGACAACTTTTTATGCTATGTGCGTAACCAAGCGCCACCATAAACACCAAGAATAAAAATTACCATGAAAAATTGTATATCCCGGAAAACAAATAAACATATTCCGGGAGATACAAATAGTTTATAAAATATTCGCTCTGTTCCCAGAAAAATGAAATCATAAAAGTATTGGTCGTTGTTCAATGAAGCTGCATGTTTTTGTAGAAACCAACGAAAATATTACAAATACGAAGATAGACCCCATTCCCATAGATTTAGGATCGATCTATCCCTATGGGGAGTCTCAAAAGATTACTGTCAGCTCAAGTGTCTGTCCCGCCTACTAAAAACTGTAAGGGGGTAATTAACTATGGTGCTCGCTCGGCTGACTGCAATTTAGCGTGAACCCCCAGGGAGTTAGGTCGATCTAAATCTCTGGGAATGCACCCATAGACATCTAGCATGACCGCACTGTCTCCTTTTTTTCGGCTACTATACGTTAAATGGCACGTTTGTTCAAATTACACTTTCCACGAATTCGCACATGCGCGAATCACTTCATACTACAATAAAGGAGTCGGAATTCTCCAGATCAATACATAAGGCGAGGCTCCTGCGACTGGTTGGTTGTATAAGTTTAGTCAAAGCACAGAGACATGTCGGTAAGTTTGCTGCCTTTTTTTAACCAGGTGTTCACAATAACTTATTTGAACTCTCCTAGAAACTTAAATAATCTTGATATATGGTGTTGGGAAGTGCTTCAACAGAATTACATGTTGTTGTTACATCCCTAGTATTGTATACGGAGTGATCTTGGGGCAATGTTTTTATTTTTCGTTTTTTTTTTATTTTGAGAATGTATGCTACTGTATATGAAGGATATTACAGCTTTTAGTGATTTGTAAAAAGTTTTGATGTATTATTTATTCCATGCCTGTTTATTTTTGTGTTTATTTTATTTTATTATTATTATTATTATTTTTTTTTTTTTTTTTTTTTTTGTCCTGAAACCTGTGGAACTCGAAAACATTAAGGCTTATATTTTGTTAATGCTAAGTGTCCAAAAAACTATTGATTTTACATTCCCTTGCAAAGAAATCGATTTTGGGTGTTCACGACCCTAGTTAAAAAGGTCCAATGCTACATATTTCAGCACCTGTCTTTGTACCACAATAGATATTTTGGCAGATGTGTATTCTAAAGCTCAGCATTGTTCACATATTGAATTGTTTTGGTATTTCATAAAAACGATACGTAAAAACCAATAAGCTCCCTGGGAGAGCAAAACAAATGAGGTTCACGCGCAAATGTACCGCAACAGGAGAGTTAACAACACATGATTTGCCCTTCTGTTATTTATCTAACAATCAAAATTTTGCACCATCACATCACAACATGTATTATTTTACCTTTATAAAGGCCAGGTTCATATTTCTCTACAACATCCCTTGGTTCATTTTGTTCGTCTGCATGTTAAAAAGGACACTTTATTTTTTTAAATAAATTTTATCAATTTCTTTTGGAAAATATCAAAATATCTATATCCACTTTAGTGTATGTGAAAAAAAAGCGTGTAGCCTACGTGGAGTATGTCTACATTACATACGGTCGCTGTGCCATTTCTCCCACATGACCTTGACGTCCGGTCGTGGAATATCGGTGTTTGTCGGTTGCAAAGCGATCATATACTGAGCCCTTTCAGCCACTGCTGCTGACGTACAGTATCCGTGCGGAAGCAATGCTGTTTGATACGATGTGTATTTGACCACTTACGCCGAAATATCAATGAGACGCACATCTTCAAGTTTAAAAAAATTTAAGATATTTTACTATTATTACGCTTCCCTAAACTACCAAAGGCGAAATTGAAGAGGTTATTATACGCTAGTCACGCTAGAGGCGGAATGAGCTAGAACGTAGTCGAAATGGGAATTCTTTGTATATTCCTGGACATTCGAATTGCGTTCTAAAAATTCTGAGTGCATTCTAAATATATGGGCCCATTCTTGTGTCCGGTCGGAATGTTTTGCTCATGCTCAAAACTTTCGAAGTGCATTCCAAGTGGAAAAATATTGAATGGCATTCTAAGTGTATTCTAACTGTCCTATGAATGCTTAATATTCTTACAGCATTCCAACAGCATTCGAAACATTCTGATCGCATTTATGGGAGAATGTTCTGCATGTGCCTCAAATGAGCCGAAATGCAACTCGAATGCATCTCGATTGCTGGCCGAAATTCTATTTCGGCCAGCAATCGAACTACACTCGTACCGCATTCAAAGTGTATTCTAAATATTCTGACTGCATTCTGACAGCATTATCGATATTTCAAGTACGTTTCAACTACATTCCAGCGGTTAATACACCAAAAATGTGCACGAGTCATTCCAGGCGGATTCGAAGCGCATTTTGTGTATTCCAACGGTATTCTTACGAGAATATAGGTCAATTTGAAATTTCTTCCCGAATGTGGGACGAATTTTGAAAATTCTTCATTCCTTCTAATTCTGCTTGATTACTGCTGATTCCGAATAAGTGTGATGGGGCCTTTAAATAATAGCATGAGGAAAAACACGAGGATAAGGGCGACAAATACGGTGCAAAATGGTCCACGAGAAACCGTTTACATTTGCCATGCGATGTCCATACACTGCTCATAAACTGCCCGTAAATCCCTTTTCGTGCCGTGTCTGTTCGGAAGCAGACGGTGACAGTACGAAATCGTACAAAACCGTACGGATTCACAGCTTCTGTAGCCTCTTAGATTTTATCAAGCTGAAACTTCTTACAATTTTTTTTAATTCGTAAGCCCGCTGGTCGTAGATGGCATCGCGCTGTCCCGCTCGGGCATTGTTCGATGGACTTGGGTTGATCATAATAATATGGTTGAACCTGGACCCCGTAACTCGAAAGCATCGCGCGAAAGCATCGCACATCGCGCATTGCCACCGAGTGCATGAGTCTCGATTGCATAACCCCCATATGGGGTCGAGTATGGGCGAGTTATGGAATCAAGACGCTTGCGCTCAGTGGCAATGCGCAATGCTTTCGAGTTACGGGGCCCTGTTATTGGTCTCTTTTCCTTCCTTATATGGTGGTTAAGGAGGCATAAGAGTAGTTCAGATGTTTAAATGTTAGTGTAATCAAGGAGTTGTACAACTCCTTGGTGCAATTCATTTGCATAAACGTGGGTTTGTACTTTTTCTTTACCTGAACACAAGGTTGAAAAATATTGTAGGGGGGTGAACCAACAGCGTGTCAAACTTCAATGAAGCTGCACAAAAAACGTACGGCAACTGCACTGAGATTGAAAGGGTTCTGAACGATCATTTTTAAAAAGAAATACGATTTTCCCCACGTGACCTCGAGGTATATCCGAAAATAGGCACGGCTCCCGCACGTTATATTCGCCGCAGCCCGCAGCCCGTAGATTTTTTAAAAATCGTACGGAAAATCGTATACACTTTGGTGCGGCACCCGTGGCAAATGTAATCAAGGCTTATGTATTTTGACAGCTCCGTATCGCAGGATAGCCTTGCGTTGTTGAGCAATCCACAAGTCCACCGTACAATGCTCGTAAGATGCCTATGCAATGCCTGTGAGGGGATTGCGCAATGCCATCTCGATATTGTAACAGTCTACGGGCTTTCGATTATAAAAATTTGTCAAAAGGT